GAGGGGGCGTGGAGCGGGACACGATGGCAGCTGGATGGGCGCGACGGACGGATGGAGCCCGAGCCATGAGATGCCTGACAACGACACGGAGACACTTACGCCAGCCCCGGCTTTTTGGTCTGCTCTTTCTTCCTCTCTAGACTGGGCTTTCTCTCCTCCTCAGCCTTTTTCCAGTGTCTGTTTTCCTTCAGACTAATTTGTCTAGAACGTAAATTTGGGGCGTTTTTCTCCAGGACGCCTGCCTGGGCTCCCTGTCCTCCCTATGGCCCGGCCCACACTCCGCTCTCTGACCTGGGCCCCAAGTGACCTCCTTCCCCCGCTCTAGACCCGCTCTCAGGGCTGGGCCCTCACACGGGGACGCGCCAGGATCCCAGGGCACCAGGATAGCCCAGGCCCGGCAAGGACCTTGCGGGAGAACGCCAGGGGGCCGTGGCTCGGCTGGGTGGCGTCTCAGGAATGAGGAGAACGGGTGGAAGGGAGGAAAGGAGGTGACGCAGGGTGGGGCCTGCAGGTGAGCGGTCATCTCAGGAGCTGCTGCTGGGCGGGCAGGGCTGTGGCTGCCAGGAACTCGCGGGGAGGCCGAGGCCCAGGGTCACGTGTGCTCCCTGGTAAGTGGGGCCGCCTGCCCCCTGGAGGCCAGTCCTGCAGTGCGCCCCGCATGGCCATGGGCGCTCAGGCCACAAGCCCGAGGCCTCACAGTCCAGGCCCCTTGGCCTTCTCCTCTCCCCCAGTAAAGATCCAGCCGCACCGGCCCGTCTGCAGCTGAGAAGAGCAGGCATGTTGGTGTTTCAGAGAAACGCCAACCGTGGCTGCAGCTTCCCGCCTTCCGTGTCCTCAGCCCTGAGGGCCCTGAGGCAGCTGCACCTACAAGGACCAAGAGGTCACCAAGGCAGGGCAGGAAGCCGTGTAAAGCTTCTGTTGCCAGGATCCCCATCCCCGCCCGAGCCAGGCTCTCACATGGGCCTGTAGCAGCCCACGGCCCCTCCAGGACACCCACACCTGACCACTGCCAGCCTGCTCCCAGCTGCTTAGCCCGCCCTGTGCTCCATGCTGGCTCCTGGGTGACTCCTCCGAGAAGCCTTCCCAAACCGCCCCTCCTCTAGCCTTCCCAGGACACTGGTCACAGCTGGGACCCCTTGTTCCTCGGCTGCCTAACCCCTAGAGTCAGAGCTCTCTTCAGGGCCCTGGCCTGCTGCCGCCTGGTACGCGACAAGCCCCACCCGACTGAGCATGGCCCGCCACAGATGACTCAAGGCAAAGCGGGTGGAGCGGAGGCATGGCATCACACAAGCATGGCGCACGCGGGGTCACTGCGGGGAGGGCCAGGCTGGAGCAGGAGACAGGCAGGGGTGGGTGCGGGGCCGGAGAGGCACTAGGAGGAGCTGGGGGACATGGGCCCCACCTCCCGACAGCATGAGGATAGTTCCGCTGGGGACCTGGGGGCGCCCACTTGGAGGCAGTAAGCTCGGGTGGAGAGCTTCGGACCTGGCATCGGGGTGCTGCTGGCTTTTGTCACCAACTGCTACGCCAGGGAACTGTAGTCAGAACCCCACGTGGACCCACCTGGCTCAGGCAGCACCCACCACAGGGCCCTCCCAGGCCGATGCACCGGGCCTGGGCTACCTGTGGGCCCTCAGCCCCTCCCATCCAGGCGAGGTCCACACTCCACCTGGAACCAGCCCGGAGGCCACCTCTGACCCCACCCCACTGCCCCACCCTCATCACCCCCAAGTGCCCCAGGTCAGCCCAGTCCCCACACCCACTGGGCTCAGGGCTCTGGGGAATCAGCAGCCCAGGGAACATTCGGACATCTCCCTGTGGCCCGTCCCGACTTCCCTGCAGCTGGCTGAGGCCCAGGGCCCTGCACCACACAGAGCGGGGTAGAGGGGGGACCAGGGACACAGACTCGCCAGGGGCCACGTTGACGCTGAGCAGGGGAGGCGGGGCCAGCACGGGGCATGTGTCCCCAGTGCCCAGGGAGGGACTCGTGTCCTGGCAACCTGGCTTCCTCCGCCAACACCCCAGACACCAAAGGGACGCAGTATTCTAAGTCTGCTTTAGTGCCACGAAAACTCCGCTAGGCTGCGAATCCGGGGTGACCGGGCTGCCTTCTCTGCTTGCGCTTCTGGGTCAGCGACGGGCCCTCTCTGGATGCTGCGGGTTCTCAGCACCTTCGAACTCCCTAACTGCGCTCTGAACCTCCTCTGCTATGGTCTCCACTCCACGTGACCCCTCAGGGAGGCGCCTGTTCCTGACCTGGTGAGGGTCCTCAGCGTGAGACTCTCATCTTGAGAATTCCGAGGACTCCTTTGGTTAGGTCTCGATGCCTAAACTCTGTGGCTTCCTGGATTATGCCTGCATCTACCCGGGCACATCCTGGAATATCTTCTTGCTTTATACCCATGTCCACCTGGGCGTGGTCCGGGAGTGGCTTCCTGGTATATGCCCGCATCCACATGGGCACGTCCTGCAGTATCCTTCTGCTTCACGCCCCCGTCTACCTGGGCACATCCTGCAGTGGCTTCCGGAGAAAGGACGTGAAATCTGAGACCCGCGTGTCTGAGAAGATCTTGCCTCCCGCCCACAGTTCGTGGCCATTTGGCTAGGCACATGCTTCTGGGAGGAGAACAGCTCCTCCTTTGACTTTTGAAGGCCTTGCTCCTCCGTCTTTCCGCTTGCAGCATGAAATTCTGAATCCAGGGCCGGGAGGGTCCCTTGTGGTGGCATGTGTGTGGGCCATGCTTGCTGGTGGCGTGCGTGTGGCCGGCTGGACCTGCTGGTGACGTGTGTGTGGCCGGGCCCGCGGGTGGCTTTGGAGAAGCTGGGGGCATGTTCGGGAAGACAAGCCGAGGAGACCCCGAGTGAGTCCCGGGTCACAGCTTGGGCGAGTGTGGGTGTCCCCATAGTCTCCAGGTCGATCTCTCCACGGGGGGTGCATCTGCAGGGAGCAGCAGGAGTGCGGGTCTGAGGCACAGGGCGTCAGGTGCCCACTTGGGAGGCCAGCCGGAGGCGGGGAACTGCCGGGCAACGTGGGCAGTGGCCGAGCCAGGAGCAGCAATGAGACCCGGAGGGCGGGCATGCGGAGACCGGCCGGGAGCCGCAGCGGGAAGGCTGTCCCTGGCTTCTACGCCAAGGGTGTCCGCAGATGGTGCGTGGGCGCTGGAGGGTTGGTGGAGGCAGCCAGGACATGGAGTGGGCTGGGGTGGGCTCCGGGAGCGAGGCCACACTTCCCCAGCTCCCGCAGGGCGGTGTGGAACTCCGCAGGGGGTGGGGTGGCGGGCGCACCTGCCAGAGCCTGTGTAGACGGCTTTCTCTCAGCGCCGGTGTGGCAGAGCACAGCGAGGGCCCTAGGGGCGGCTCGGGTGCCCACAAAGAGTCGGCTGCACCATTCACCTTGGAGAAAAACAGCCGGCGGCAGGGTCAGCGTGGTCCTGTCGTGGAGATCTGCCCGTGAGGAGGCACAAAGGGCAGCGTGGCGTGTCCAGGCTGGTAGCCACAGTGAGCCATCTGCCTTTGGAGAGGCTGGCTTCTGGTCTCGGCCGAGGGGTGCCTGGTAAACATACGGGGTCGTTCCGCCAACACATGGACCCCCACAGGCGTGATGTGGAGCTCATTCTGATGCCACCCCTTGGTCCAGAGGACCCTGGCAATGTCTGGGGATACCCTTGGCCATCGTGGCCGGGTGCTCCCGGCGTGGAGTGGGTGGAGGCCAGGGAGGTTGCTCAGCACCTGCAATGTCGGCCACGGATACTCAGGCAGTTCCACCCCTGCCCCAAACAGGCCTCGGAAGCTCCGGGAGTCCTGGCCGGGGGACGACAGCCACGTGTAGAGGGCGCCGGGCCAGGGAGAGCCACAAAGCGCTTCTGAGAACCGGCCACCCAGGCAGAGGAGGGGGCTGCGGCTCAGGCTTTTCACCGTGAGTCACTCATCAGCCTTTCCAGAGAAAAGTGCACCCCGTGCCTTTCAAAAGGAGTCAGCCTTGTTTTACATACTGACAGCTTTACAGAAAGCTACCTCCTTGGGAATACGACTTAATTTGTCATCCGGGCCCACCGCTGGGTCATGACAGCCCCCAGGATGGCTGCACAGGAGGGATGTTCCGGAAAGGAACAGTTTGTGACGAGGGGCCCGTGCGCGCAGAGGCGGCTGGGGCAGAGGCGGCTGGGGCAGGGAGGCCAGGCCCGTGTGGGGCTTGGGTGGGGAGGCCACTTCCCGCGTGCAGAGAGGTCTCCATGCAGCGGTGCGCACGGCTGTCGGTGGCTCTCCCCGCCTGGTTATTGGCAATTCGCTCTGCTGACCGATTAGCCAGGGCCACAATCAATTAGACGTCGCGCAAACGGCACATCCGCTATGCTGCAGGGCCATTAAGCTCGCTGCGCTGGGGACTGTCGGGAGCCTCGCCATGAAGCACTCTTCACGAGGGCCATGGGCGGGGGGGGAGGACATCGGAAGGGACCAGGAGACTCGCCTCGCACAGCTGCAGGAGAAGGAGCAGAGGGAACAATGTTCCCCAAGAGCAGGGGCCGCAGGGGAACCCACACTGATGTAAGGGGAGAAGGTTCTGGACCAGGTGTGACTCCTCACAGAAACCAGTTTCAGGGCTGGCTCCTGCAGAGTATGGGAAGGATCCCCCGAGGCATCAGACGGGGGACCCGGCCAAGTCACCCCAGCCCCGGTGCTCGGCGGAGGCCGCAGGTGGGCTCTGCCCATCACCAGCCAGGACCCATCGAGCTTGAAGTGACTGGGCTGCAGACCCAGAGGTTGCAGCCCGAGGGGAGGGAGGCTGTCCCCACACCAGGGCTGCCGCACGGAGTTCACAGGCCAGGCGAGCGGGTAGCTGCGTGGGCACAGCCTGCAAGCCAGGGACGGGGCTCACATCTCTCAGTGGCTCAAAGGAAGGCACGCAGCATGTTCTGTGGCAATGAAGAGAGCACGAGAGCTCAATTTCAGTGGCCATAAAGAAAGCCTCAGGGGCACGGCCACACCCATCCCTCGCTGAACGTCCACTGTCTGCAGCAACTGCAACGCGGAGTTGAATGTTCGCTACCGAGCCGTGGGTCGCTGAGGTTCCTCTCTGGCCCTGCCCGGGCACGGCCGGCCAGACCTGCTGGGGGCCGCGCTCTGGCTGCAGCTTGTGCCCAGGGACTTGCCAGACGGCTCTCGGGCACCAAATAGGATTGTATTTTGCCAACAGCTGTACCATGCCAGGTAGCTCATACCCTGGAGGCTGGACACGTCCTCAGGAATGCTGGGGAGGTGGGTCTCCGAGGCTGCAGTGCCGACTTGGTACCTGTCCACGCGGGGCAATTCCATTTCCTCCTGAGCTGAAACCCCCCCCCGGCCCCCTCCAAGTCTGGACAGCCAGAGGCCCAGGGGCTGCGATGCTCCCTCCCTCTCATGGGAGGTCCACATGGGAGGAAACTGCGACTCGCCCTGAGGGTTCTGAGGGACAGGTGCACCCAAGGGTGCTCCTGGGGACAGGTCTCAGTGGCCACCGCGGCCTTGAGCTGGAGCAGCACGTTTACACTGAAGTGAGCCCAGGACACAAGGGGCAGGGCCCACAGCCCGAGAGCTGGGCCCGGGTAACGAGGACCTGCCATCTGCAGCCAACAGGGCCTGGGCAGCCCCGAGGGCAGTGACAGGCTGGATGCGGGCAGGATGCCGTGAGGCGTGGGTGTGTGCTCCGCCAAAGCGTAGGCCCAGGGCCTGGGGCGGCCCGAAGGTCAGGCCCCAGGTGTGACACAGAGCACAAGGGAGCCGGGGGCTTGGGCGACAGAGCTTGCCTGCCTCTAACCGCTGACCTTGAGCAAGACAAGGCCCGAGAAACGCGGGGGGTCTCAGAAGCCAGGAGACAGAGGAGGGGGAGGAAAGGGAGGCAAAGGGGAAGAGATGATGGAAGGAAGATGGGGAAGGGAAGGGAGGGAGAGGAAGAGGGGAGGAGGCCAGGGAGGGAGCGGGCAGGAGGGGGTACGCCAGAGGCCGCCAGGGGAGGTGGGGGCAGGCATCCCTGCCCAGCCGGCCCCAGCCCCAGGACTCACCTGCGGAGCAGCTTGGCCTTGAGCGAGGCCCGTGAGGCGCTCCAGGAACTGAGCTCGGGGCTGGTGAGGGCCGTGGGCCGCGTGTGGTCCAGCACGGTGAAGTCCTTGCCCTGTTTCCACAGCTCGTAGCGCTCAGGCTGCAGGATGCGCACGAACACGTCCATGGAGATCTTCACCATGTCCTTGCGGCACGTGCACTGCGGGGAGACAGGCTCTGAGTGCGCGGGACGCCCTGCCCGCCCCCGGCTGCCGCCCCTGGAGCCTCTGTTGCAGGATGGGAGCACGTGGAGCCTCTGTGGTGGGATGGGAGGCCTGGCTGGGAGTCTCTGGGAGGCCAGCACGTGGGAGGCAAGAGCAGAGCCCTCTGCTGGGGAGGACGGGCAGGTCAGGACCCACAGCTGAGGGTCCTCCCAGGAATTCGGAGAGGACGAGGGAGAGGGCAGAGGGTGACAGTCCCCAAGGAGCTAAGGGAACAGAGCAGCAGACGCACAAATGTAAGCTGAGGCAGTGGCAGCCCCCTGTGAGCCCAGCCCAGGTGACGACGTGGCCTGGAAGGCTCAGACAGAGGAACTGCACGACAATGCCACGCACCACGGCAGGACGGCTGGTGTCTTCTCGTGGGAGCTTCAGCTGGGCAGAGCCTGTCTTACTGGCCCTGTGCCGGGCGGGCCTGCTCTCTCACTCCCCAAGGCCTCCCCAGACACGGCCATCGGGCCACTGCCTCTGTACCACCTCGAGGTCATGCCAGGCACTGGTAAGGAGGTGCCACAGGTGGCCTGGTGGCACTTCAGGGACTTGGGGGTCACAGAAGCCAGGCCCTGGGGGGTGTGACCCTAGACACCCAGCGGTACTCCTGCCGTGTGCTCTTGGCCCTTGGGGGGAGGACAGCCCTGTCTCTCGCTCACCTGCTGGAATGAGGCCCAGATCAGCTGAAAACATCCCCCGTGAGAGGCAGGGGCCCATCTCAGCGCTGCCAGCAAACTGCCCGTGAAAAAACAACTGCACAGCAAATGTCTTCAGCTCTGTGGGCCACGATCTCCATCACGACCCCCCAACTCCTCCCCTGTGGCTGGAAAGCTCGCAGCCGGTGGGAGCCCGTGGGCAAGGCTGTGTGCTAATAAAACGTTATTGGCAAGCAAAGACCTGGCCAGTCGTGGGGTTTCTGGCCTGGACTCAGAGGAGAAAGTGACCCCTAGGGTCTCCCCGGGAAGGCTAAGGCTGTGGGGATGCTTGGGGGGCACGCACCCCCCCTTGATAGGGTGCAGTCCCCATCTCCCCACAGGACAGCACACCCAGGCCAGGCACTGGGACACGGGCACCCTGACCCCCCGCCCCTGCAGCTCAGCCTCAGAAGCCCACTCACTGCACAGGCGCAGGAGAAGCCCATTTCCAAAAACCGAGAAACCAGAGCTTAAAGTGTCTTTGGGTTAAGTGTCCTTCTCATGGTCCCCACCGCGGTCTCCACAGACGCGATGGAAACAGAAAGACATCCCTGAATGTGTCGACGTGGTCACCTCGCCCTGACAAGTCCTTCCGGACCCCACTCCTGTGCTCTGGAAACTGAGATGTTCATCACCCCAGACCTGACGCTGTGGGGCTGGGGAGAGAAGCCTCTGAGAAATTTTCTGCTGCCCCACCCCCACCCAGGACGGCTGGACCCAGCGGGAGGAGCCAGGGACAGCCACAGCCTGCGAGGCGCAGTAGAGTGTTTATGGCCGAGCGACTCCCAGCTAACTCAATCCATTTAATGAAAACTGCGGGAGAGGGCTGGCAGGGTAATTTGGCCGCCGAGAGGCGGGAGCACAGATGGCGCCCGCATCTCAGATTCCTGGCCGGCCTTGACCGCCGCTGTCCCCATCCACGGCGGCTTAAGGGATTTGTATTGAGCGGCTTTGCAATTGCTTTTCCTTAAGTAATTAAAAAAAGCACCTGTGTGCGCCCAGGAGGGGACACGAGACACGCTCTGCGGAGCGCATCGCTGCGGCCTGGAACCAAAGGCCCTCGCCGGCCAAGGCTGGCCGGGTTGCCGGCGTGTCCCCCGCCCAGGGGCTGGTGCCACTGCCAGAAGAAGCCGCAGGCACCAGCCCGTCCGGGTGGCAGGTGCTGTGGTCCTCCTGCTGGGGTGGCTGGGAACATTTGCAAGCGGGTCTCCATGAGGGGTGCGGAGGTCTGGGGCCAGGAGCGCCCGAAGGGGAAACGGCAGAAGGGGCAAGCCTGGGTGGTCCAGGGAGGGCAGCACAGCTGGCAGGTGAGAATGCGGGACGGTCATTCCGAGCACTGTGTGGCTGGGCAGCACCGCTCAGGGGAGGGGTGCTGGAGCCAGGACCAGGGTCCGGGTCTTTGGGGTGCACACAGGCTCTGGGCTGAGGACCCAGGCCCCCCACAGCCACACACCACTCCTTCCCCGGGGCCCTGGGCTGACAGCCGGGTGACCGAGGCCCACGGGGCCACACAGCTGCCCCACTGCAGGCCTGATGCAGACAAGCCACGCCATCTGTCCTCACTAATGG